ATGATTCTCGGTTTTGATCTACTTGATTTCATAAATTTTATTCATAGATTTATAAAATATTTCAATTTATTTTTAGTTAAAAAAAATGATTATTTATTACTTTCAATAATTCAAGATACGAAATAAGATGTTTTGAATAATTTTCATTTATTTTGATTTAAACTTTCAGTCGATAAGGTGAAATTGCGGATGGTATGGCTGAGTCTCACTTTTCCGTTCTAATCTAGTTACAGCACTACTTATTGATCTTTAATTTTTAATAATGAACAATTATTTATTTCTGTTTAACAAATTAGAAATAAATTATACTCATAAACAACAAAGAGATAATATCATGTTCATGTTTTTATGCGCATATGAATCGTTTATTTTAAAATGAACAAAATACATTATAATCGAACATTTCGAACAGAAATACACTAAATTTTATTTTATTAATTATGTATTAAAATTATTGATGTGAAATAAATCATAATACATTATACTATATGTCAAAAGACTTTTATATGAGGTAAAAAAGAAAAAAAACCATCATTGATATTGTTTCGATCTATAATTATATTTGGCATGGCTATTACAAACAAAAAAAAATTTTTTTTTTTCATTGTAAAACACAATACACTTATATATAAATGAGAGAACCTCTTCAGATATTGTATTTCATTCTAGAGATATCGAAATTTCACCGAGTTGTTAAACGAAAAGCTGTGGTGAGATAAAAAAAAATCGACTTTCGAAATATCTCAGAATAGCAAATACTATTATAGAATACTTACAACTTGTCCAATGAACTAATCTCATTGATAATTTTGTTCGTACAACATTTGAAGTCGAAATTCAAAAGTTAATTTTTCACGTGACTTTGCGAAGGTCACAGTTTCTTTTTGTAGAAAACCAAATTATGCTAGACTTTTCTATTACTCACTAGTATTCATCGAAATAAAACACCGCCTCGGTCAAAAAGTGCTTTGACACCTGAAGAGGTTCCATCACAAGAAGTTTTTTTACCTATTTAACAAATAAAGATGTCTATTAATTGCAACTACTTGACAATTTTCTTTTTGTGTAAAATGAACATGTATTTTGAATAGAAAAAAAATACAATAGAAAGTAACCGTTATATAAAGTTGTAAATTGTTAAAAAAAAAATGTTTAAGTGTTAATTTATGACGTTGACAATTATATAAAATTGTAGTGAAGTCTTTAAATAAATATGACCGTTATAATTTTGTTTAAATGAATTCTTTGTATCACTTGTTGATACTTTCTTTTAAAGATGAAATTAATATTCTATGACTAAATTAATGATAAATCGAATATATCATTTGTTGAGTATTACGTCGAAATTTAATGATGAATATATACACGTGTTATTTATGCTACGCAATAGATTTGATGAAGTATTCTCAATTAACATTCAATATTAATATGCAACAGATGTAATTTCACTGTATACATTTTTATCCATAGATAGAAAGTCAAATTTTAGTACTATTTTGATTATAATCTACGAATCATTTTGGTTACTACAAACAGTGCAGTTAGGCATGTTCAAATTCATTTCAACTAGCAATAGAAATAGATTTCTTTTACAATCAATTCAGATATTTTCTATTCATAGACATATTCTTTTATTATTCTTTTAAAAATTATTATCTTTTATCTAGTCATTGTATAACTAAAGCCATAAGAACATCAAAAGGTAATTGAAATTCATAATAGAAGTACAAATTACCGAAGAAACTTGAAACTGATAGCAATGTCTAGTAATCATATGCTTTACTACTGTTGATAGTGTCATACAGGGTTCGGCATTGAATCACTTGTTCATGGTCTGTTGAGATCGACACTAATTATAAATATATTTCTTTTATAAGACAAAATTTCTACATGATGAAAACTTAATAATCAAATGAGTATTTTAGAATAGTATTGCAAAAAAAAATTATTATGATATTGACCACGAATTGAACTAGATTAGACAATTCTAATGCTTGTAAAAACAAAATGAAAGATAAAATAAATTTTCTATTGAATCGTAGAAACAAAATATATTTGGCAGTAATCTAGTTTCATGAAGGCTATTATTTATTAACAAGATACTCCCTGAACGATAATTTATTTGCTGGTCAAATTAAAAGAATTAGATAGATTTTTATTGGTACTTGATACTATTAATTATAATTCATTGTTAACAATATTTCACTTCAATAATATTCATACTAATTAGTGTCATTGACAATTTACTTACCTAAATGTTTTGTTTTTGTCTAAACTATTTCCTTGAGAAAAGAAATAAAATTCAGATCGGAAGATCTGACAGACATTGACATCTGCTGATCAGTAAAACATATATGAAGAAAAAATATTTTATTAAAATAAAATACGAACATCGCAAAAGTTATGTGTCAATGAAAACAAATTAAATAATTGTTCTCAATGATTGTGAAAATTAATCTTTTCATCATGACAACACTATAAATATAAAATTCATTTGAAAGTTGATCACTATAACCTATTGATCATCTACTATGGCATTGGATTATTAAATCTTCGATAATGATAACATTTTTTGTCAAACGATGCCTTAAAACTTCATGCATATCTAGATAAAGTCAAAAATAAACCTGAAAAAGAAAAGCGTCCTTTCTTTTTCTTTTTTCATTAATATAGACTAATATTGTCGCCTCTTAGCAAATTTTATTTGCACATTAAAAATAATAAGTAAAATTAATATAAGATAAAAACATTTTTTTCAACACACCATTTCGAAATGATTTCAATTCATGCATTATTCCGTTGAAACCATTAATAATCAAGCATACACTTTTCTAACCAGCCGTAAACATAATTAAAGATCTACGCAAAATGACGTAAAACAACATCGGACTCTTCTTTTCTATCTATCAAAAGAAACATATAAAAACGCAATTTCCGACATAAAGAATCAATACTATACACTATATTGATTTGCAAACATAACTGATTGACATACTATTACAAACAGTGAGAACATCAATCTTAAATAAAACGAACGAAAAAGGTTCTCATTTCCTTTCCTTTTTTTTTTTTTTTACTAATATATTATTTAATATCAATGACTTTCATCCTTCAATAGTCTTTGTTCTTTTTTTGATCCTTTAAATTCACAATAATGGCAGGTGTTCTTGCACTCAAAGTTGTCGTCAATAATGACATTTGTTCAATGTTGAGTTCAATTGTTACTTGAGTATTACTGAACGAATGAACTCGTCAAGAAAGAAAAGGAAAAAAAAATACATCAGTCTTGTGCGCTTTACGCCCTTATGAAATACATCGTTGATATTTCGCGCAAAAACATGACCTTGCTTGTGACCGATGGATAGTGACCGCTCACGCACACATTATGTACAAACTTATCGAATATAAGCAAAAGAAAAAGAGTGAGTGTGCGTGTATGATTACATCGCATTCTGTTGACCTTGACCAAAGGGTGATTTATGAAAGAAGAGAAAGAGAAAAAAAAAATCGCTTCATATTGTACCATCGGTCAGTATACAATCGTGTTCAAGGTCATCGAACTTGTTAGAATTAGCTATTTGCATTTACATATAGTATAATAACGACATAAACAACGGCAACAAATTTTTAATAAATACAAAATTTTTTCTTTTTCATATGATGAATATTATTGATCAAGTAAGTTTTATAAAAAATATAAAAAAAACATATTTACATCATGGAAAGAAATCGAGGGAGAAATATAAAAAATAAAAAAAAAAAGGAAAAAGTATTTTGTTGAGAACTACTAGGGTTGTTGTTGTCGTATTATTGCCATCACCAAGAATCCTTTATATATATATATATTTATGGTGATTGTATGAGATGACGAGGAAAAAAAAGAACGAAGAAAGCCGAAAAAAAAACAAGCTTGCATAGACTCGACTATATAACGTAATATTACATAAAAAAAAGGAATAGACAAATAAAACGAGGGAAACCATAAAAGAGGAAAAAATTATGAGAAATGAAAGAGAGAGAAAGAAAAGAAAAGGAAAATTACATAATTCTATTCGACAGAAAACGCATCTAACATCAAGAACAGAACACAATTTTTTTGTAACCACGACATGAGTGACAAAAGGCATTGGTAATAAACCGAGACCGGTTATCTTGTTTTTTCTCTTAGTGGTAATAGAAAAGTTATAGAACGTGTGTTCTCTTCTTTTCTTGATGTCTCGTTCTTAACTTACGCAAGAGAAAAAAACAACAAAACATGAAAAAAAAACCGGCTGTTGCTGTCTATGACAGCGACTAATAGTAATCTAATGCAATCAGACATATACAAGTGAAAAAAAAAAACGACGTAAGAAAAAAATAAGAGAAAAAAGAAACAAGAGAAATCGAGAAGCAAAGGAGTGAAAGGACAAAAAAACAGAAGGAAAGAAAGACGAAACAAATCACGCAATCGCCCTTCGTCATCGAGCGCTACTAAAAACATATTATTCGCTTTCATTTATATTCAGTGCTCACAAGGACATTTTTCTAGATTGATAGTGTTGTTGTTGCTCTATCGTTGATTGAACAGCAACAACAACAACTATTTCAAGATATATTTTATCTATTCCCGGTGAATATAATACTAAAGAACAACATATTTATAGAAAGAGAATGGTAAGTTTTCGATGTCACTCTGATCTATATATATTGCATATCAATTGCATCATCATATCAAAATCATAAGAAATAATCTGCAAAATATTTTTTTTTCTAATCTATTTAATATTTACTTTTTTATTTATGATAAAAAAGAAAAAAAATCATCAATATACTATATTTATCTCATTATAATCAAAACAAAAGGCTTTTAATAACATATTACTATCTTTAATATCTAGTAGTTAACAAAATCGAAAAATTAAAAAATAATGTAGAGTTAAGTAAAAACTAATAATAAAAAAAAAAAAAAAAAAACAAAACTCGGAAAAATGATTGCATAACTCACCATCACAACATATAACATGAATGTAAAAAATACAGAAGAAAAGAAAAGAAAGTCGTAATTTTCTAGTCATTGCTTGTTTTTTTTTTTTTTTATTTTCCTTTCATATCAGGTGGGTCCAGTGACAAACGAAGATTTATCTATAAGTCCTAATCCAGATAATATTCAACAACAACAACATTATCGTCTTCAATTACTTGCTCAGGCTATTGAAAAAGTTGAAAACGAAAGTTTACAAAAATCTCTTGCTGTTTCATCACCATCATTTACTTCCAAAAAACAACAACAAACAATTCCAATCGATTCTCTTTCCATGACATCTTCACAACAACAAGATTTATTAATGAAATTACTTACTCAACAGAATGTTGCAGCAGTTATGGCTGCAGCAGCTGCTGCTCAACTTCAAGTTCAACAACAACAACAACAAAAACTTGAACCTATATCACCACCATCAACATCATCAGCATCATCAACATCGGAAAGTCCAATAGATTTTTCTTCACGTCGTTCAACTGATGAAAATAATGATTGTTCAACTCCATCTTCACCATTGCCAAGTCAACACCAACTTCTTTCAACAATGTTACAAAATCTTCAATCATCATCACCAACATCAACATTTCCATTTTTATTAACAAATAAAAATGGTAAACCAACACGACCATTTAAAGCATATCCACGTGAACCATTAATGTTACCACTTGGTTTTTGTCCAACAGCAACAACAACAGAGCAAACAAATATTCTAGCTGAAGCAGCAAGTCGTACAACATCAAATCGTAAACGACTTGCTCAAACACAAGAACGTCTTAAACAACGTTTACAACAACAACAACAGCAACAACAACAACAACAACAACAACAACAATCATATTTTATTTCATCATCTGGTACACAAATATTACAACCACCAAAAAAACGACATCGAACTATGGAAACTACATCAGCTAGTGATGATAATACAACAACTGAAAATAACAATAATAATAATTCTTCAACTATATCAACTAATAATGATGATCCAAATAATGGAATTAAAGATGATGCTTATTGGGAACGAAGAAGAAAGAATAATGAAGCTGCTAAACGTAGTCGAGATGCACGACGAGCTAAAGAAGATGAAATTGCTATACGGTAAATCAATTGATTTTTATTCTTTTTACCTTTTTTTTTATCGTCGCAAAAAAGTAATTATTAATGTTTTTTTTTTTTTTTTTTTGTATTATATATTTAGAGCGGCTATTCTCGAACAAGAAAATATTAAATTACGTCTTGAAGTATCTCAATTAAAACAAGAAACAGCTAAATTACGATGTATGGTTTATGCCACATCATAGTCATTGATATATTCCTGTGTATGTTTCTCGGTGATGCTTTGGCTAATCAATAATTCCTTGTGTAGTGTCAAAAAGTATTCATGTATTTCTCATTCATCGAGTTCATATTTCTATCTCTGCTAGGCAGTTCGTTTTAAATACATATTATAGAGCCGAGCTCGAGATATGTATTTATCTATTTATTTATACTGCTTTGGTGAGAGAGAGAGAGAGATAGAGTAAATTCTTCATTTGTTTTTTTTTGTCTGTTGCCATGAATAAGTGGCCATTAATGTCTTCGTTTTTTTTTTTTTTTTGTTTTGTTTTGTTTCTATAGTTGACGATATACTTTATTTGCTTCATTTCATGACATCGTTTATGTTTGCGTTTTAGTTCTTCCCTTAATTTGTTTCACGTGCTTCACATTTAGTTTTTTTTACGCAATATTTGCTGCTGCTGCTGTTGTTGCTTCTTTTTTTTGTTGTTTTTGCTGTTGTTTAGAATTTATTAGAATCAACTGTGTATATGTCTTTGTGTCATATTCGTTTTTTTTTTCTGTTTATGTTCATCGTCTTTTAAGTGTATACAAAATCTCATTGAATGTGTCTATCTATTGATGCTGATTGTTTTCTTTTTGTCATATTCTAATAGACAAAATCTTTTGAAAACACAAAAAAAACACTAATTTTTCAAAATATCAATGATGAAAAGATTTATGGTTTTTCTTGTAATACTAAGATTCAATTATATTTGACATTAGAATAGTTTGGAAACAAGAGAAAGAATGGCATGTAATTCTTTGATGATAACATGTGTCAAATTTATTTATTTATTTATTTATTTTGATAATATGATAGCTGGAAATCGGATATGAAAGGAAATTAAATAGAGAAACAAAAGAAGTTCATGAATTTAATGATATAGTATATGCTTTGATGGAAAAATACGTATGTTTATGTCAGCATGATTTATGACGTTTGAAAAGTTTGAGTAAAAGGAAGAAATTAAATAAATATAAAAAGATAGATTGAAGATATTCCGATTTTCATAATAGTTTTTAGCTTAGTCATTTTTGTCTATCAATTGAATAGTATTTGGTTGAACATATTCAAAAAATCTGAATGAATACTATTATTAGTTCTTCAATATGGATAAAGATTATGTATATTAACTCTAGTTTAAAAATAACTCAAATATACTTATTTGTGTTATATCAATTAGAATTTAGATTTGTCATGTGTGAGTATTTTATATTGTTAGTCACATACTTAAAAGAAAAAGAGTACTTTTTTTTTTTTCGAACCTTAATGCTATATGATCATAGGCTAAGTTTAATCTATCGGATTATTTGTTTAGCAGCATGTCAACTACGTTATGACATGTATTAAAACACTTTAATAATTAAGAAAGATGAACTTGCAAGTCACACTGAACTTCTATCGAGATTAGTGCAAAATTAATCTCTGCTTGATGAATATAGATATTAGATTCTATCATTTGGCCTGTAGAAAAAAAAAATTTTGTTTAAAAGAAACAATAACAGAAAGTATATGTTACATAATACATATGTAAATTATTTAATTGATTTAAAATCTTTTATATTTATATCAAACATTGATTGATAATGCATAGAAAAATATTTAAATTCTTATTTCTATTTTAAAATTATTGTTGAATAATTCTTTAAGCGATATGCAATAGAGAACGTCATAAAACGCGTAAATCACCAGTTAATTGATTATGAACCAATGAAGTTTGGATCTAGTAGTGAAACTTGTCATGATTTTCAATTATTATCAATAATAGTCAGAAGAATAAATGTCATACTAACGACTGATGCTTCAATGGAAAGATTATTTAGCTCAGTTAGATTGACGTTCACTGAAAAATGAACATGTTTGTTACCAATTGATAACATATTATTTATTTATTCGTTCATACGAAGAATTCAAGAATACTTATACATTTTCGTCGTTCATCTATCTATATTGATTAAATTTTGAATCTTGGATTTTTATGCAAGTTTTGTTTATTCTATAAATTGTTCATTTTATTTCTGCTGAAAAACATATAATAAAGTTTATTAACATGATTTTATTGGACATCGTACTCATATACAGACAAGTTGGTATTTTTTCCTTGTCAAAAATTCAAGAAGAAGAGCATCCGGACGTAGACGAATCCTTTGTCTTACAAAATAAGATGATTAAGTAATAATGTTCTGACGAAGAAAACTGTCCTGTAACGTTCTCTGATATGAAATACAAATTCGTTTATAGTCTCATTATGTTTCTTGTTTAATGAATTTTCATAAAGACGAAAAACGATTAAACAATGATCTTAGTTGAATAATTCACGTTTCACAGTACGAATTCATTTTTAAAACTAACATCAAAAGTTCAAAAAGAAAAGATATTTAAAAGAATATTTCTCAATTAATTATTTTATTATACCGATTATCAAACAAATATTCTCTTTTTCTGTTTTTTTGTTTTTTCAAATTTGATTGTTATCTTTATTTTGAAATCATCATTTATTTTTTTCACTTTATTCTAATATCATTATCACCATATGTTCTAATATTTGATTATTCTATCAAATATATGACCTTTTCTCATTATCATCATTGATTATTTTCATTTTTTTCTTTTTTTTTTCGTATGTGTTCAATTCCGTTCTGCATCTGTTTTTAAATACATATATTATAAAGAATGATGATGATGATGATGATGCAAAGATTACTTTAACAGATTAAAGTTATTGCAATAAACATCCGTTTTATCAGAATTTTCAAGATTAGAATAATACGTAATAGCTTTTGTTTTTTTGAATAATATAAAAATAAAATCTGTTAGTTACAATTCAATCTCTCGATTGTCACCTCTTCACACCAATGTGTGACAAGATCACTCAATCTTGCTCAATGATTATTTCATCGGATCATATAACACATGATAATCATTGAAAATTAAAAGAATAGACGTCGTACACGTAAGTGTACTTTTCTTTTTAACGTCAAATATTTGAAAAGATCTAAAGAAGTGTTAAAACATCAAAAAGACACGAATCAATAGACAATCAGAAGTGGATTAAATAAAGATTGCTCCTCCTTTCCGGAGACGACTTGATTAAGATTATCACAAATTTTCGATAGATTAAACATGAATATTATCCCTGAAATGTTTTTCTCAAGATTGAAAATTTGTGCGAATTTCAACCAGCTCAGAAAACTGATCATGCTGAAAAAAACACAATCAAATTTTTAATTGATTCTTTTAGTAATCGTCTTCTATTTATCTAAATAACCAGACTTTTCTTCGTTTTATTTTTTTTTCTTATTGAAATAATCAAGATATTTCTTCCTCGTACAGTAATATGTGAGTAATTAGTATTTATTGAATGAACATTGACCGATGTGTATACAATAACAATTCAATTTATTATTTTTTTTCTACTCTATACTTATTCGTTCTCTCTTATTCACATCGATCACCAAAGAACTCTGACTGTGTTATTTAATTCTTTCGTGCGATCGTTTACACATAACATGACCTTGAATTTCTCTTGAGCATGCCGATGGTCAAATAGTTTGTCTTATATTGAAAGAAGAAAAAAAAAAAAGAACGTTGACCTCATCACTTTTCATCATTATAATCAATAGGGGTCAGTAATCGTTTACTCTATCAATTATACGGATAGAGTTGTTAGATCGATTTTGCCTAATTTATTTTACGTTTTAGAAAAAAAAACACAACAGACTATCGCAATATCTTTCTTTCCCAATAGAACCCTCCTGTAGGTAATGATTCAATATCATATGTAATCAAACGTGAGTATATTAGATCGCTTGCAAGCGGCAAAAGAAAGATTATAACAAGAAGCTTTTGGCAAGAAAAAAAAAGAAAGAATGTATTCCATGAGCGATATGAGCAAAATATTCAATGCGAAAAGAGAGAGAAAGAAAAAGAAATGAGAGAAGGAAAGAAAAATATTAAAATATATAGAACGCTATCAGTGTATGTATGTATATATTCTGTGATCAATGATCAAACTGAATACTTGATAATAAATTTCATTCAACAAGAATGTACGAATTATCAAATGTTATTTGAATTGTACATATATTTTATTAGTTAATTCATAAGAGAAATATTTTGTTTATTTTCAGATTCCATTGATCACATTTCGGCTTAATATTATCAGCCGATATAGCTGATTATATGGAGCAAAATGAAGAAAATACAAATAAAAATCAACAAGAATTATTTTTAAAATATTTTATTGAATCAATTCAAAAACAACAACAACAACAAAATGGACCTATTGATTTTTCAACGAAAATAAATCAATATAATAAATTAATACGTCCATTTAGTTCTTATGCATTAACAGATAATCATTTAAATTCAAATGAAAATATTTTAAAGCAATTTTATAAACATTTATTAAATATAAATCAACAAGATCAAATTGTTAGTTCAATATCAACAAATTCTATTTCAATAAAAAAAGATTATAAATCAAATACATCATCATCATCATCATCATCGTCTCCTAAACATCAAGATGATGTTTATTGGGAACGAAGAAAAAAAAATAATGAAGCTGCTAAACGTAGTCGTGATTCACGACGAGCTAAAGAAGATGAAATTGCTTTACGGTAAAAATAAATGAACACTTTTTGTTTTGTGAATAAAAGAAGATTACTTTTTTATTCTTTTCATGTTTTAGAGCTACTTGGCTTGAACAAGAAAATGTTAAACTTCGACTTGAAAATGCACATTTAAAACAAGAAAATATTCAACTTCGTTGTCAAATTTATTGTTCAAATGAATCTTAAGTCATTCTCATAATTCGATTTTTTTGAGTTATTTCTTTTTTGCATAGATAAACTTAGTTTTTTTTTTTTTTTTTCTTTTTGTTTTTCTTTTCTTTTGCCGTGAATTCAAATTGTTCATGCCATAATGAGACATCATCTGTCTCGTGTATTTAAAACGAATTTAAAAAAACAAAACGTCAATAGAAATAAATCTCCTACAAAGGATATAATTATTTGATGTTTATTCATGCATAAAAGATCTCTTATAATCATATCCATCTGTTGAACATTTAAAATGAGATGATCGGCATCATTTGAAGACAAACTCTTTGTTGTTGTCTGTTATATGAAGAAACCATATTGAACATTGATATATTTGATAATAATATAACGTGTCAAGCTTTTGTTTTCTGTTTTGTCCAATATAGAGTTCAATTGAATTATTTGTTCGAGGGTCAATATGAATAATGAAAATAAAAAGTTTCATCTTTTTTTTTTTTTGATAGATTTTGATTATAAGAAAATAGAAAAACTTATTATTAAGTAAACAAATGAATGATGATGTGTTTGTACTAATATAAAAGTTGTTTGCTGATTGAAGTATTTTGCCTTGTAACGCCTAGAATTCATGGTAAAATAAAGATTTTATGACTAGATGATACTTGATTTTTTCAATGTAAACGTTCATTTAGGCATGTACGAACAATTTTGTTAATGAATGTAAATGATTCACAGTCTTTTTTCTATTAAACTCATTATGTATAAAAATAAAACTATGAATTATAATAACAGGTCATCAAATAAAAAAAAATACAAAGTTGAATCTAACGAGATGAATTCAAAGTATTAACTCTTAGATTATTTGTGTAGGGATACTGCTTCTTTACGATTGTTTTTTAAGTTTAAGAATATTGAAACTACCGGTGTCTATGAGTAATGGAAAAGACATACTTTTGTTATAGATATATCTTACGATTTGAACTAGAGGGAAAATCGGAAATTTTCACAATAGACTATTCTCTCTAAGATCTATTTCTTGGCAAAGTTTCGAGGCAAAAACTCGAAAATCATGATGTTATTGAGAGAGACCTTGTCATTGATTAAAAGAATACGATAAATATGATGTATATATCCTCATATATGTAGTAATTTATCAGTTGAGCGACTTTCTAAAACAACTGAACATCTCACTAAAACCAGAATTAAATGTTAAAGCATACATATATTTAATAGTATTTTCGATTAGTTTTGGTAATTATGCATATTGAAAATGCACATCTGAATCTCGGGTAGAATGAATATAGATTCAATAAGTTTGTTTGTTAAGTAACGGATGTTATTATTCCAAAAATTTAATTTAAGATCTCGTATTCTACTTTTAAAGATGATTCACATAATTATATAAGTAGTAAAAAGTACTTCACATTTTTAGCTCATTGACAGTACGTTCAACCAGTGAGTTATTTCTTTTTATTTAATGAAGTCGTATATAAAACATCTGTCAGGAGAAAATGACACATAAAATAATGCTAGAGAAAAAAAAGAACATCATTGTGAATGTTAATAATAGTCAAGAATCGAATAGTCGCTTTATAAACTAACGTATTTTAATCGATAATTAAATCAAAAAATTTTTTTGTGAATTTATAAAATTTTGATAAATACAATTCAAGTTAAAAACAAACACCTAAAGGTATTATAGTACATTCATCTATTTATTTAATCACCCTTTAATAATTTTTAATAATACTTCACTATAGAGAAAATTAATCATATTCTATAAATAAATTCTTCTATGATTATGCTGGTGTTATAATCAAAGAAATTGTTTTTGGTTGAATTCCGAAGAAGAAGAAACAACATTTATTGCCTATTATTATGTATGTAAACTTTAACTAAGACATTCAGGTTAATTAAAAGAATGTTCACCATTTTTTACTAAATATAATAATCAAAAGTATAGAAGTAAGTAATTTCATCTAATAATAGAAGAACTACCCTCAATTATATAATAAATAAAGGGATTGAAGTTTTGATTAATATATTTAATCGAACATAGGTCTAAGTTTTTGAACTTTTAGTTGAAAATCAATGAATTTTTATCTTTTTTATTCTCAAAAAAAAAAACATCTTTCAAATACTCCAAACAGTCTCAATTGTTTTTAGTAACATTTTATTAACAAAGTAGTTTAAAAATGAGAAATATAATAGAAGACCTTGAATGTTTTGTCAAAAATGAGATTTAAAAAAGTAATTGAATGCTTTCTCGACAGTCACAAACAGGTGAAATTGCGTTGAATGTATAAAAAAGAAAAAAAATGCGCGTTTGTCTTTCATAATCACAAACTGTGAGTGTAGGAGCAAAAACGACCGCAACTTGTTTCCCTTGTGTTTACATGCATTTTCGACCTTTGTACCAACCTGGATATCTTACATGATGATAAAATAGATACGGTTTTCATTTATTCATCTCATATCTCAAACAAATCATATTTGAATAATAGAAAACATAAAAGTAGCTTGAAATTTGTCGAAGGTAAAAGAAAAAAAAATATTGGAGCTCTGATTGTATAAAATGTACTAAAAGAACTATTTCTTATAGAGATACTTTTTTGTTTATATTTTGCTTATACGGTAGATTAATCACGCATGATGGGACCTTTTCTAAATATTTTGTGTTCGTATTTATTGAGTATGCTAAATATGACATTTACAGTTTTATTGGACGAACGATGAATACTGGATTCATTACGGTAGGAAGGAAGGAAGAAAACTGTGACAATTCATCTGGATACTAGGTATTATACACTCAGGAGATCACGCAATATAATTAACTAAAGAACGTAGTTTCTGAAGAAAAGAAAGGATACAACTCGAACATTGTAGGATTTTGAATTTAATTCAGAAAAATAAATAAGAAAGAAGCTCTTAGAAACTGTCTTTTAAACAGTATAGACAAAAGTGATTTTACGATAATTTAAAAAAGAAAAAAAAAACAATTTTCAAACTGTAGAACTTAAATCAATAGAAAGAACAATATCAGCTTGTATTATCATGAAGATTTAATAACGCCATTCGCGTAATTGTCGTCATTCATAAACAATTGCACAAATGATCAAAGTTACAAGGTTTTTGTTGTTACAGTACAATTCTTTTTCATCTAATATTGATTTAAAAGTGATAGTATATCGATATTCAATGCTTTTCATTCGGATCAGTTTTGTCACTGTTCGTATCTTAAGATAAAACTATAATAATAGCGTATCTTTTACACTGTTCATAGAAACATGCAGATTTTATGTTTTCATTTCAGGATGAGAAATAAATAAAAAAAAACTACTTTTGCTTCAGAACAATCGATCTGACTGTAATTTTCAGAAGATATGTGTCTAAGCCTAGAAAGCTCCTAGTAAAAATTTTAGCATAAAATATTGAGTTATTCAAGACTTATCCCTATATTAAAGGTTAACAAAGTAGATGTTCGTGTGTCTCAATTTTCTCCTTCAAATTTAGTGAAACAGATTTTGGGTTAATGTCAAGATGTAACCAACACTTGCCGATACAATCTCATACAGCACGTTTTTTAAAATTTATTAACTTTTCGTGTTAGTTTTCTCGAAAAGTTCGAAAAAATAGGAATACTCCTATTGAAAAAAGATGCATTTTTCTTAAAATTTACACCAAAAATGAAAACTCCGGCTCTGTTAAGTTGTTGAGAATAATTTTCTCTTCAACTAGAATCCTTTCGAAGCTTTCTAGCATATAAAATGACTGAGAAATCTGAAACACACGGATAAAAAACAGTCATTTTCAGAAAAATACCAAACAAAGTGAAACTTTAAAAACCCAGGCTTTCCCCTTCGTAGAGCGATCTACGGTAGATCATATGAATTGAAAAGTGGTAAAAAAGCCATCAGAAAACCTCTCAAAACAATAGTAAAAACTAAGAATAATAGTCACTTCGAAAGTAGACTATTCGACCATGGAGAAAAGTCAAAAATTGAAAATTTTTTTGACCTAGAGGAGGCTTTAAAGCTTATCTCTATGAAAAGTTTCACGTCGAAATTCGAAACTGAATTTTCCTATTACCGTAACATTGATTTAAGACATACAATAAAACTACAGTATCTTCGTATCAATAATTTCAGGTCATAATGTCTTTCCATAGGATAGTTCTATCGTTATATTCCTTGAATGTCATCTTGCTTGATAATTAACGCCATCTATGAGTTATTTTATTTTTCAAATATAGATTTTTCTAATTGTAATTCGGATAAATATTATGTTAAAGCTAAAAAAATATTTTCCCAAAAGGACTTTTATAATTGAAATGATTGATGAAATATAGAATCAATAAGAGTACATTCAATATGTATCTTTCGGACAAATTTATTTTTTGTTTTGTTCTTATATTTTATCATTGCATCGTCTAATACTTCTTCAAAGATAATAAATATGTATCTCAGATTTTCAATTGTATTTTTACAGAAAAGTATTTATAGTAAAGGTTTGTTTTTTTTTTCGAATGTTACTTGTAAAGAATGAATTATTTCAAAAATCAGAAAAAAGAAAGATTCATTATGATTGTTTCATTAAAAAAATGCCAAATTAAAGTACACTTTACGTTTGAAGCCAGATAAGGCTTACTTTCAAATAGGCATGATTTATATATGCCAAATATTTTTATAACATCCTTAAAGACATGTTGACATTGGCATCTTTTAAAACTAAAATTTTGTACCATTATGCATTTTATGAATCAAATTCAAATTTCTATTTGTTCTGTGAAAAAAAGAATTCAGATTCGTTTTCATAGAAGGTAATTGAAAGTGACTAAATTTTACATGTTTCATTTCAAATGTTAATTGAACATTATTTGAGATAATTATTGAATTTTTTATTGAGGTAAGTGGGTACTTTTAGTAGTGTGTTGTCATTGACCTATGTTAATAATTTTATTTGATGAAAATTCGATGAGCTCATTTATTTTAGTTTGATTTACATTAAGTATGAATATTAATTATTTTTTTTTAAAGTTATAACAAAAAATGTAGTCAAGATTTTCTTTTCTTGTAGTATAATTGAAAAAGAGAACAATTGACGTCATTATATGTGACATCATAGAGAATTATAAAATCATTAGGTTATTAATGAAGTAGCAAAAAAGAATATTTTTATTATGATGAATGATGTTTTTTTTTTCTCTCTCAAGTTGTTGGAAATATGAAATAATAACTATATGAAAAAAAACAAAGATCATTGCTTGTAAATTTCTTTATAGATGACTTCTATCTCAAATTTTGAATCATTACCAGATGAACTTCTCTTAGAAGTTTGTAAGTATCTTTTATGTGTTGATGTTTTATTCAGTTTTGATAATCTCAATACACGTATGACATGCATGATAAGTGATTATTATCGTCATGTATCATTACATAAAGCATCATATACACAATCACATGAGTTATGTTCAAAAATTCTTCCAAATATTGGTGCACAAATAAAAACATTAATTATTGATAATTGTTATTCAGCATTACAAGCAATAGCATTTCCAAAATATTTTCAAAATTCTTTGTCATTATATTTTCCTGAATTACAAAAAATAATTCTTGTCTCATTTCGTCCTGATCCATTATTAGTATTTCTTAAAATATTAAATAATCTTGAAAAATTATATACAATTGATATACGTAGTTTATTTCGTGTACCAACAAATCAACAAACAGAAGTTTTATTAGCATTATTAAGAGCAAATAATAATCGTTTAACATCAGTTTATATTGATGATCAATCAAGTCATTTAAATCCAATTAAAAAACATTTATCAAATCAAATAACATGTCCAAATATAATAAATTTAAAAATTGAAATATCAACTATATGTGATTTATCTGTTTTATTTACAATTATACCAAATATACATAATTTATCCGTATCAATACATAAAAAAGATAATTTAGATAATATTAATCGTATATTTACATCTTATACATTAAATTTTTTAATTAAATTTCAATTAAAATCTGTTGAACGTTCATGGTGTTTAAATGAATTAGTTATTTTATTAGAAATATTACCATCAATTAAATATTTATCATTAAATTTACGTACATCAGATATATCATTAATAAATGGTGAAATTTTAAAAAAATGTTTACCTAATACAATCGAACAATTTCATTATGCTATACATTATCTACCTGAACAAATAATTAATTATGTTGAAATATTAAATACATGGAAATATATATGTCCAATAACATGTTTGTATAATCCTATGCAAAATGATTATATGTATTTACACACATTACCATATTCATCATTTAATTATTTAGAAATTTCATCATCAGTTGCTGTTTCAATATTAAAAAATAAAAATTCATATGAAAATATAGAACGTATACATGTTGATTGTGATTTAACATTAGCTGAAGCATTTCCAATAATTGGATATTGTCGAAGAGCTAGATATAGTTTGATTTGGTTACATGGAACAGATACAAATAATCAAAATAATTCGAATTCAAGTAATTAATAAAATATTTTCTTCAACTTATGTACATTTTCGAAGATAATTATGAGCATAGGATTTAAGTTATGTGTACTGTGCTCTTATTAACCATAGTATTTGGAGAAATTGAAATAAGCTTGTGAATGTTCTAAATAGTACAATTCAAAGTTCTTGATTAGGGAACATATTTCCAAATATTTGACTTTTTTTTACAAAAAATCTTAATATTTTCTGTCAATTTTTTTTCCAACTTCATGGGTAACTTTGGATAGAAATTGAACTTTGCGATATCATTTGCCTATCTTTGGCAAAAAGCGAAATAAACATAAGCAGATAATTTCATTGTAAGATAAATAAGATTGGGGGCAGGTCTCGCAGACGGGACGATCTAATGACAGATCGTTTATTGTGGGAAGAGCCGAGCTATCGTGCATTTTGTTCTACCGCCCTCCAATCATCACTTCGAGGTTAAAAACACATCGTGCCGAATTTTTAGTTTCTTCATCTGTAGAAAAAATAAAAAGACGAAATTTCTGTTTGGAATGTAGAAATAAACAAGACATAGTTTTTCCAGGGATCGACTATCCTTGACAGACGACTATAGCCTGCAAGGGATTGCTCACTTGAAGTATTTTGTATTAGTATAATGAAGCTAAAGAATACATGTTAGTTTCATATGTTAGCCCCAAAGGAGCTACGCTAACAATGTTCTTTTTAATATAATTAATAATGAAGATTAATTATAAACAATGTTCTATAAGTATTTTTTTTTATGAATAAATTAATTTCATTATATTTTAACAAATATTAATAGTACAATTAGATAGTAAATCTAATAAATTATGACTAGAAATCGAAATTTATTTCTATTTTTATATAAATTTTCAGTTGCTGAGAAAAAAATATAGGTGATTTTCCGACATGTCTATCCTTTTATAAATATAGGATGTTCTAGAAGTTCGTCAGAAAAGTAACTGTAATTATCTCTTAAAAAAATTCAAGCGATTGAATTATTCTTTTTTTTTTTCACAATATGATATTATGTGGAATTTGATTAAAAAATCAATATAAAAGTGTTACACATTTTTACTTGGATTTGTAAATTCTTTTCGTAGTGTTGTTAATCAAATCGATATTAATTTAGTTTCACCGAAGAAGATCTGTAAATATCTTTATTATAATCTACATCTAGTAGTTTTTCTGTGCCTCATTTAACAAATAATTCTTATTTGATCATTATCAATGACCCGGATTTAGTTTCTTAGAAAGGTCATCTTATTGTAATGTTTATAGACACAGATATTTATCTAAAGTTGTATGTGAAGATAAAGCTGTAAAGAGCATATTATCATATTATTAGCAAAAAATCAATAAGTCGCTTGACTTCTATAAGAGAGATTAGCATTTACGTTGCCGACGAACTTTTCAAAAACTCTGTAGAATGTGTTCTATTGTTTTTTTTTTTTTAATATAAACTCATAACTCAAGGTAAATAGAGATCTGTAGTTTTTACTATTTGAAAGAATGAAATGAAGAAATGTGAATCTATATCATAATTGATAGATAAGTTCATAGAAATATCCAATACCTGCATCTTTAAAATTTGATTGAAAGCTGTAGCAAACTATTCCTATTTGTTAATATGTAACTTCGGAAGACAGCTGATTTCAATGTCAATTATAAAGTGACAAACATGAACCTCGTTTAATACATAAAATTTCACATAAATTCGTGTTCTTCCATTCGTCATTCGAGATTCATTGAAAAAACAACGGAATACGTTAAATTTCTAAACGCTATTTAAAAACTAGATCTTTATTTCATAAATTTTCACCATATATATATATATATATGATCGCATTTGTTAGAAAGGCTAAGAAGGCGTTGTAACGATGAATTTCTATCAGTTTTTTTTTAAATTTTCAAAAAGAGTCAAATCGATAGTGACAGCAAATGTTTTATAATCAGTCGTTATTCAAAACGATTAAAAACAGAAGAAATAAGAAATTATTTTTCAAGATTTTAGAGAGATGATAGCTTCAATGATTTTTGGAAATCAAGTAGCTTTCACTATTTCTTCCATAAAATCAATGAATAATATAGGTCATTAAATATATTCAAGATATATGATGTCAAAACTTATTCATTTTCAGCTCATAATGAGATTATCTGAAAGTATATTAGGGATTCCTTCCGCCTTGTGACATTTCTGAAGAAAAGTGAATCAGAAAGATTTGGAACATTGAAGGCGGGTGGATCTTTATGATGATCCTATTTTTCGCCCTTCTTTCTCTGAGATACTATTCTTCATCCAGCTGAATATTGTATAGAATGGGTAGTTTTCTATGAGATTTCATTTTTTCGAATAAAGATATCAAAATACTGAACACCTTCACCAAGTTTGTAAAAACTGCCTAAAATCACCGAAAAAAATATTTTTCTAAATAAAAAACAAAAAATATCCACGTCAAATAATATTGAGTGTATGTGAGAAAAAGTTTAGCTCAATACTTCGTACAATGCTGGAAAAACCGAAGCGAAACAGTACTTTTTTTTTGTCGAATACTTGATTTTGAAAAAAACCCAAAACAAAGTTGAATCTCAATGTCATTCTAAATACTTATCATTTTTCTCTTCCTATTGAATTTTTTATAGAGATTTCTACTACTGCGCATTCAACGATGTTATTTTCACGTGTAACGAGTATTATTTTTATATTTGCCAAATGCTTGTAGTCAGAGAGAAGGAGCATATAGTTAAAAAGTCATTTTTTACATCCAAAAAGCGGATGCTAAGCATTAAAAAAAGAACAAAAATACATCTTAAAAGAGAAATGCTAAGTGAGAATGAAATTAACAATAGAAACTCTAATAATTAAGTACTTTTTTTCTTTTGATTTTCTATTCATTATTTCATATCGATTAATATTTTTTCTAGTTCAAAAACAAACTAAACAAGATGAAAACATCACATTACCTGAAATGCCACGTCTTCGTCGACTAAGTCTTGTTGGTAGTGCACCTAAAGATCTTCATCATATATCAACAATACTTCTTGCTGCTCCAAATCTCTTTCGTTTGGATCTGAATTATAATACATTAATACTTTTACTTGATAATAAAGATATTTGTAAACTTCTTCAACAACGTATAACTGCTTTAACAATCAATAATATGTCATCATGTTTAACAAATACAAAAGGACATATACAACATATTGCTTCAATATTTTTACATCTTCGACATTTATATATTGATATGAGATCCTTAGATGGCACAATAGATTTAGTAGTTTTATGTTATTATGATGAATTTTCTAAACAACAAGCACCACTTATTTCACTCTGTGCTGATGGTAAACCATCGAATGAAATGAAAATTGATGCTAAAAAATGGTTAATAAATCAAAGAAATCATCTTCAATATAAACAATTTGCAGCTTTTTTTAATGAAAAAGCAGGTAGATTACTTATTTGGATGTGAATAAGCATCATTATCTTTTCGTTCTTTTTTTATTGTTTTTGTTTTGTTTAATTATTACATTGCTTTTCTTTTTCTTGTTTATAGTTTTATTACACATACAAATATTGTTTGTACTACTCATAAAGAGTATATGTATATACACGTGCAAATATTACAAAGCAATATTGAAATAATAGTGAGAATTCGATCTTTTGGAATATGTCTATAATATATATATATATATAGAATCAATGGATTTTATTCAAGATAGAATCTTATCCAATTGGTTCATAATCAAAAAATAGATTTGAATTATATTTTAGATATTCTATTCCTTACTTTCTAGATTGTTTCATATATATATATATTTTTCATCTTTTCATAATTTCTGAAGAGATGAAATTGAAAAATATTTTATGAAATATTATTTTTGTTCTCTATTTATTGTTATGAATTGAAAAGTCGATGTTCATATTTGTATAAAAAAAAAATTTTTTATCATCGATATGCATGCTTGAGTGATATTGCAGAGAATTATTATTATTTTTTGTTTCTTTTACTCATAGAGTATTAGCTAAGTCTGATCAACAAACTCAGGTGAATCAAATATGACAAGTTACACCCAGATAATGGTTGGAACTAGAAAAGTTCAGTTATCAAATTCCTATTAGTAAGCTCCTACCATTTTACGAAAATTTCCGGTCGAAACGGCATTTTTTCCATGGAAAACTACCAAAAATCAAAGAGTTCTGGAAACTGTTTTTCAAAATAAAATATTTTTTAAATTTTATATATTTCAATATTGATAGATTAAATTATTTACTTAATCAAACAAACTTATTTCAACATATTTAATCAATGTATAAACATTTTTTTATATCATTAAAACTTATATATCCATGTTTAAATATTCTTGATTCGATTATGTATATCGAATGATTCGATAAATTAGCTTCTTTTCTTTCATTCATTATAGATATTTATTTGTTGAACGGGACGATTGATTAAATTGCTCTATGACAGAGATTTGCAGAACACTGACAACATATTCGACGGCGAGAAGTTGACAGTTCACCATAAAATTTGATGTTTTTTCCCTTCTTGTAACGATACTATCCTTTGTTTTGAGAAATCCAATAAATTCATAAAAAATAAGTGATTGCTATTGGGTTTGTTTTGCTCCGAAATAGTCTCTGAGTATCTTATTTACTCTATATGATGTTATAGAAATAGAAATAGCGATGATGACGTATGTTCTCGATGAAAAATACGAAGTCTATATCAACTCATAAACAGCTACATTGTTTTCGTATACGACCGTATTTTCAAAAATCATATAGCTCAGTATTACCGATCATATATGGAGTACTTGAATTATATTTGAAGCAATGTGAAGCCAAATTGATATCAAATACAACTCTCTTGTATGAATATTGTAAGCGAGACCATACTTGTTTAACCTAAATGCTTGAGAAATTTAAAAAAAATGTCATTTTCGAAAATCTTCTCTCGATGAAATCGAACGGAGAAGATAATTATAAAATCAGCAGTATCGGATTGACTTGGTACCTGCCATGAGAATCTCTGCTTTTTTATTACCTTCTTTTTCAATGATTTGTTGAATTAATAAAAATTTACAGTTAGATATTTTATACACTATCTTGTATCAATTTCATTTGTTTTTTTTTGTAAAATATTTTATTTTTCATGACTAAATAAATAAATAAATATTAATTTGAAAGAATTATACAAATGTTGAAACATTCTATAATTTAAATAAAATATCTTCAGATAAAACATATTCAATTATTATTATTCAATATCAGAAGAATCAAATAGATGTCTAAACGAATAAATTATCTAATATGAAAAAAAACCTTTAGGATAGTAAATAATCACATGTCATCAGTTGTTGCAATTCTCATAAGTAGACAGATGAAATAAAAAGAAAGAAACAGATATTGATTGGAATTAGAATCAATCAAGGATTAAAAAAACATAATCGTTTTAAATTTTACTTGCTAAATAGATTTTTTTTGAAATACTACTAAGATTTTGATGAAATATAATCATTCGGATGTTAGTTGCACGTAGATGGCACTAAAATTTTATTATTGTTTGCAAAATATTACCAGTAAAAATTAAATCTTTATTCCATTATGAAGTCAAATTCATTATTATTCGAGTATTTCTAGTAATAGGATAATATATTAGATGACTTCAATCATGTTCAAAATTAATTTATATTTCCAGTGCATTTGCTACCTATGCACAAAGCCCTAGAACATCATGTCAAAAATGACATTTTGTCCTTATTCAGAATATAGTTCCCTGCAGATTGTTTATATTAACCATGATCTATTTGTGTTGTCCTATCGGAAGCTGTCAGAATTCATGAAGCACAAAACAGAGGTTTCGAAATTAATCAAAAATTCGCAATTTTTAATTGTTTTTCGACCTATTTCAACTAATGTTGAGATCTGTGAATTGCATCAGACAAAATCTAAGAATAGATCCGGAAAGAGCGTTCGAAATTGCTCACTAATGATATTAAAAATCACTAGAAGTCAAGTAATTCTCAATACTGTAAATATTCTAATCTTCAATTAGAAATTCAAGGAATTGATTTATCTCTTATTACCAAAAGACATGTCCAGTATTGAGAATTACCGGACTCCTAGAGATTCTTCATATCATTCGTGACCAGTTTCGAACGTTTTTTCCGAATCTATTCTTAGGTATTGTCGGATGCAATACACAGATCTCAAAGTCAGTTTTCATGAACCCCTCGGCTATAACTACGGATAGAACAACACAACCAGGTTATAGTTAATATAAATAATTCACAGGAAAATATATTCTGAATAAGAACAAAATGTCACTTTTGACATGACGTTCTAGGAATAGATGCATTTCTAGCATTTGTTGTTGTTTCTATGAATTTCTTCTCGTATTTTGATAATGATCATACATATTATCTTGAAAATTGCATCATTTAAATAAAAATTCTTTGACCAGAATTGAAGCAGTGTAACATAACTTCTTTATTACCAATTTGATATAATTAATGATAAATGACGACTGAACACTACTGTCCAAAACAAGAAACACAGTTCTATTTGTACCAGAAATGGTTCACCTCCTATAGAGTCAAGCAGACATGCTTTTTTTCAAGAAACTTAGCAGTCATTACTTTAATCCATTTATAACGGAAGAAATGATATATTTACAACGAGGAAACTCTTCAATGCGCTCTACTTTCGCAAGTAGAAGTCAAAAACCCTTAGTTAGACAACAATTACACTATTGTTTTTGATCTATACCCAGAGAGATCATAGAAGAGATAGTTTTATTTTCAATAGAAAAGAAAAAGAATCAAATAGAAATACTGCATTCATTTCTTTTCAAAGAATAAAACAAGTGACATCTGCTTGAATCGAGCAAAAGCAATGAGTGATAAATATATGCTATTGTTTTTTCGTTGCATCTCATCTTGATCTATATGACTTTATATCACCTAAAGTATATGTGTTCATAAACGAGGATAATCTAGCCATCGATTGGTTTGATTATTCACTATTATAAACACTGGCTTATAGATCTATTAGATTATCATGCTACAATGCTCTATTTACATAAATCTGATGAATATAGAAGAGAACTAGAATTCAATGAAAATAATTTGTTTCTCCATTCACTTGTGAATTTTCTTTTTCTTAAATTTCAAATGTCTTACATAATATGTTAATTCACATAAGATAAATCATAGAAGTAATGAGGGTAATAATAATTAAATCGTTTGTCAAGTGTTGGTGATTTAACAAGACCAATGTAGTGGATTTGAGTTACTATGAAAATAAGTGATAATAGATGAGAAAAATAGATTAGATCCGATATTTCGCGGAAGTTTTCGACAGATTCTGACCTCGACAATGAAATAGCATCTCTGATCATATTTCCAATGATATTATTCAACATAATGACAAAATTTTTATTGATAATCTTTTTCGAATTTTTATTCGAAAAAATTATTTTTCTCTATCAATAGGGGTAAGTTGTGGCTTTAAGCTGTTTACTTATCATCATCGATGATTATTACTATTAAATATGGAATTTCAACGAACTATGTTTAATCAAACTAATGACATACTGACATACGAGAGAATAAGGCGTGTTCTACAGTTGCTCGTGCTTTTTCAGGAAAACCTCGATTGGGCGTATTTAACACTACAACCACGAAATGAACTGAACGTTTTTACCAGTAACAGAGTTCAGACCGGTCTCTACTACTTTGTGTATTTGATAGTTTTTCCCTATTCGAAAAGAAGTTATTTTTAATCCAAAATCGCTTTTTTTTTTCTTCATATCTCTAATTATTTTCTATCGACTTTTCATCGTATTTTCTTTTAGTTGAACTAATGTGAACTTATTGAACCATATCTTGAATATTTTTAGTTATTAACAGAAAAAAACAATATGCCTCGAGAAAATATTCACTTGCACAGAGAATATTTAAAATACAGTAGTATTTCGAAATGTTAAGTTTTATGCAAAATATTTGGAATCAGCATAAAAAATATACTGAAATATTTATCTTTGATCAAAAAATATTTTCCATAATTTAGTAATGAAAAGTTGTGAAGATGAACTCTGATGAAATTTCTATGGAAAATATTTTTTTGATGAAAGTAGAGATTTTTATGTATGTTTTTTTTTTAATGTTGATTCCAAATATAATAATTCTTTTTTTTTGCATAATATTTCATGTTCGACAATTAAAATCGTGGCATATCATCGATTATTATGTATTTTATATGCAAACGACATATTTATCCAGACATATTGTTTTGTTCTGCTAATAATAAAAAATATCCAAGGTCTGGCTGAGTCGTTCCTTATTGTCATATAAATTTGTATAAAATAAAATAGCTAAACAAGAAAAATCTAACGGGAAATACGACGTAAAACCGATAGAAAATAGCTAATTTCTTGGGAAATTATTAGAAATAAGAAGAAGAAAA